GGGCATGCCAAACTGCTGCACAACCAGACACCCTCATCGAAGCAGGGGCGCGCAAAATTATAACTTTAAACTGGTCACACGGCAACCTGTACGGCTTGTTCCGAGCAGCAAGGGCGCCGATGGCATACCAAACGCAAGCCACCAAGTGGTTCACCAGCACCTTGACTTAAGCAAAACGGCGCAGTTGGTCGACACCACAGGCTTGCCTTCCAGGCCACAGCTCATGCCAGCCCCATCCAGCCCCCCTTTCCCAAGGCGCAATGAAAGCAACCAGCTTCAGTATGCCGAAGACTATCAAGGAGGCTTCCGACCTGGGATGTCGTGAAAACGCCGCGCACGTCAACCTGTGCAGAATTGAGATGTGTAGCTTGGACACGGGGGCGAAAAAATGTCAAAACACCCACTAAATACCTCGTGAAATACTTGTCGGCAACAATTTGCCCCCTGGCAACATGTCCACTATATTGGGGGAGAAGGGAGGGTGGAGAGACTAAGGAGGGGAGGGTTCTCCCAAACAGGCATCCCAGAAGAAGGGAACAGATCCCGGCTGGTGCCTTCAACCTTGAGTGATTCCGATTGACCTGCCAAGTTGCTGCACCTGCTCCAGTAAGTCAGTCATCCTGCCCCGTGCCTGCGCTGCTAGGCACAACCTTTTTGCCAGAGACTTCCCAGGAATTGCTCTGGGCTTTTCGGAGTTCTCATGTGGTGGCTTCTGGCTAGCAAAGTCTGGTCATTTTGCAGCATGCTGGTGCATTTGCTTCAATATGTGATCCCACTGTGAAATTTCCGGAATGCGGTGCTAAAAGGCTTAAGGCCAGAAGAATCTTCAAAGTTTCACGTAGGTATTTCTGCCCAGTCCTTCAATAGCCGCAGCAGCCGCAGGAAGCGAAGTAGTCGCACCGTTTTGGCCATGCGGAAGAAGGCCACGCCAGCACTGGCTCCTCAAAGCGCTTGGGCGGGCGCCGGGAACCGAAGGCGACCAAAGAGACCAAGGCAAAGGCCAGACTCCGCAGAAGTGAGCAGGAAGTTCCAGATGTGCAGGCCCCAGTCAAGCCCTCACAGCACACAGAGCTTGGGGCGTTGCGAAGATCACGGCTCTCCACAATGCCAACTGGCTCTTTGCCAAGCAGCCCACCAGGATAATGTCAAAAAGGAACCATGTCTTGAAATAGTTCCGCGCTATTTTTGGCACGCGCATCTCCACTGTGCCTTCCTGGCAAAAGGCTGGGAAGCTTGTTGTTGCCGTGCCCATGCCAAAACAAAGCCATAAACTACATAAACATGCTATGTTAGCATGCTGTAGCTCTATGAAAACTGCCCCATGGATCTTGTGGCAAGGGTGCGTGAAAATGCCGAAGCAAAGTGGACAAGTCATGAATACATCGCAGCCGATGGATGCGCCGTCACCACAAGGCGCTGTCCCCGCAAGCCAACAAAGCAGCGCGCACCTCCAGAATCGGGTAACCGACCAGAAATGAGGCTGGTATATCCAGCAGCCAGTAGCAACTAGTGACCCAGGACATTGCATCAACCTAGGCCGTGGCGAGGAAAAGGGAGGTTAACGTTGCAGTTCGGCCTTGCAAGGTGGCCTGCTAGTGGCCACAATCAGTCAAATCATGCACTGCCACAAGCAGGATCGTGCCAGGCCGTAGCGCACCAAATTGCAAGAAGAGCCACGAACCCGGTGGTCTGCGGATTAAACGCCTCGATGGGAAGCCAGACTAAGTCGAAGCAAATCAGGAACAAGCCTCAGTGGCAATCACAAGAGTGTCATAACCAGTGAATGGGCCGGCTGCCCAGTGCTGTTTCTTCCACCACGACTTGATGAAATCAGTTAAATCTTTAGGCTATTTGTTCGTGCTAATCTTTCTGTATTGTTGCATGACCGTCTTTACAATTCTCAATTTGCGTGCGTCATTCGCACCTCGAAAGGTTCTCCGGTCCGACATATGGCCATGCTAATCTCTGTGACCAGCTTGCCCAACAGAAAGAATGAGTTAATCAAAAGTTCCCAACCCTGAGCTCCGTGCTTGGCAACGACCGCCCCAGTGAGTGCAAGGCAAACATCAAGGATTCTTCGACACCAAGGCTCCAAGAACTTCGTAGAATAGCCTCAAGATACTGTGGGGTGGCAATACCAGGCAGGAAATACAGCGACCAGGACCCTCTTGGAAGAATAGCCTTGGCATGCAGGGGTCATGCCAGTGGCGCAAAAGACGGATAAACCTCGTAGCTTTTCTCTCGTTTAGACCAACCCCCCCTACTCCCCAGATGGTGTGCCATCAATAGCAGCTCCCATCGCATGCCAGGTAAAGAAATTGGCAGGGTACCCTTTCAAGAGGCACATGGCGGTCTCTGCTTGGCAATCCATACAGTAATCCGGGCCGCTCCCAAGCAGAGTGCTGCGGCAACATGGAGGGTCTCAGCACACCCTTTCGTGCTCGCGATGCGAAGTTCACGCGGGCCTTGCTGGTGGTTCGGCCTGGCACTGCTAGCCCGCCATGGAGAATGCGCAAAAACATTGCCCTAGTCAGCTTCAACACACTTCTCTAGCTAGCATCAATTCAACCGAGTGCCTTGGGCAAAGACGTCGCAGAGATCCGGAATCTTGAGCCTTGGATGGCTTGAGCACGGCCTTGCCACGCCCAGCTTAGCACAATGGCGAAGGATGACAAGTTCTGAGACTAGTTCTTTTCTGAGGCACCGTGGTGGCGGGGGGTCATCCGATCGGCCAGGCGACTTGACACGCTCCACCGAATGCTTGGAGCTCTCTCTTTGACTTCCGCGGTGACTTGCAACGCTCTCTGGAGCGCTAGCCCGCAGCGGAAAATTGCTGCCGATTGATTTGCCTAAGTGGCCGCGCGAGAACTGCATGCCAAATAGCATCCATGTGGAACCAATGGATGCTTGAACCACGCAAAGGTCCACTGCAAAAACTCTATGCAAAAGTTTGCATCTGGAGCCAGAAACCCCTCACGAAGCCTCGACTCGTGTGCCGCCCAAGGCGCGGGATGATGCGGAGGGCTCTGGAGTTGTATTGAAATCAACCCCCCCAACCTGAAGAAGGTCAGACCCGGTCTTTGTCGGCCCAACCTCAGAGCAAACGGAACAGTATTGACAGTATGAAGCGGGTCAAGCACTCAAGCTGGCAGGGCACTACCGGGGAAATATCTGGAGATTGTCGGTCCAGCCAATCGAACGTCTGCTGACCTGTCCAAGCTTCAGAGGCGACAGGCATCAGCCACGTCCAAGCACAACACTGATGGCAAAACAGACAGTGCCCTGGAGACATGCAAGGCGAAATGCCGAAAAACCATTCCTGTCGTGCCTCCGCTTGCCACGCCAGGCAGCTGTAGGCTTCGTCGGGAATCCACCAAGCTCTGCACGGCCTTGGCTCACACATTTTGGCTGGGCTGCTCTGAAACCACCCCCGCCTCCACTGGCGGGTGCACATCTATCAACTCCATTTCCAGCGACTTGTGGCCTGCACAGCGAGAACCCCGAGAGCGCGCCACAGCGTGACCAGAAAGCCGACGCACGCAACGGCCCTCCTCCTAGAAATGCGCTTTGGTTCCCCTTCAGAACAACCAAGAAATGTGCCCTCAAAAAAACAGAGCCCAAATGCAAGGGAAACAGCTTGGCATCTGCACTAAGCTTTATAGTACCGCTCGCTTGCTTTGGTGCTGGCTGATCAACTGGAAGCCAAAGGTGCAAGAGACTTGTGATCCCAAGCCCCCTCCAAGTTGCTTTCCGAGGTTCCCCCAAGAAAAACACAAACAAAAAGGGGCCCTATTATGGCCTTGATAGGGGGTAGAGGGCCTATAAAGTGTGCCACTGAACATCGGGGTGGGAGGATGCATGCAAGCCGTGACCGCAAGAAACTGACATGTCGCATACTTCAACCGTGCCCTCAAATCAACGTCGATGCCTGTCAGCGATAGCAGTTTGTCGTCTGTTCCATCCCACGAGACGACTGGGCTGTTGTTCTCGTGGGCAGGTCCTTAGCTAGCACTGGCTGCTGGCTGGCCACTGAACAACCGCAATTCATTCATCCTGCACCAGGGTGTCTTTTTGGACGAGTTTGGCATCCCAAAACCTACACGTTTAGGGCCTCGTTCCCAAAGACGCTGCACAACCGGAAGCGCCAATCCGTGCCGAAGGTGCCCGCTTTGCGGCTTCGGCGGTTTGTCTGCTTGGGTGTCCTGCCGCGCTGGTTCCAACCTTTGAGATCGTCCAGCTCCGCCTGACGCTGCGCCCAAAAAGCGATTTGGCAGTGCGAGAGGTCTCAGCTTGCAGTTGGGGGAGTTTTTTGAAGGGAAGCCCAAAAAAAAGCAAGCGCGAGCTCATAGGAAGGGAACATGCCTGCTTTTCTTGGCCTCCATGGCCTCCTTTGCCACACAGCTTGCCAGCCGCAAAGCCACAAACCGGTTGCTTTGCAAAATCCTCTTGCCGTGCTGAGATGTCAGGTCCTTTTTGAACCTCGGGTTTCTAACATCATTTGTTCAGCCCCCTGAACCCTGACGCCCCGTTCTGGGCAACCCCCGCCAAGAGGATGGCCATCTCGTTCTGCAGCTCCTGCTTCACGGCGTCCAGCTCCTGCTGGTGCGCCAGGCCGGCCTTCCAGGTTGCGCGGGAGGCTCACGCCAAGTTGAGCTGAACACATGCCCCCAACACAAATAAGGGCCACTTGGGGCAACCCTTGGAAGGTGCTGGCACATCGTTGGCTTCCTTTGGGCGGAAGCCCTTGGGAGCTTGGGAGGAAGCCCTTTGACACCTTTTCGCACGAGGGGCAACGAAAAACAACGCCCAAAACCTGCTTGGCAAGTTTGGTTCCGCCAATATACTCAGAAGGTTCGCCATGACCCCTACCAAAACAAGTAGCAGTCCAAATCGATTGATCCATTCTGCCAGAAACATCCATACTAACCTCCTTAGCAAATGGGAATGGCCACTACAAGCTGTACCAAAAATCCTACGACTCCCTGAGAAGCGGCGAGTTGATCGACAAATCGTTCAGTTTTCTGCTTTCCGCCTCTGCCAGGAGCTGCATCACCTTGCCCTCGCGCTCCATGGCGTCGGAGAAAAGGTGCCGGAGGGCCCCCCGGGGTTTCTCCCGTGGGCCCCCGGCTGACGCTTGAGCCAGCTGAGGTGTCCGGCTTCTGATTAGCCAGCACCCTCCCAGCCCCACGTCCGCGAGTGCAAAGCAAAGACACAGCCTGCTTTTCCCGTGGCACGCAGGTTGCACAGCTCGTTGGCACCTCGAGCCGGCGAGCCCGCTTCGCGTGCGCACTCGAATGCCATCGAAGCCGCCTAAGCCGCCACGACACAGCGCCTGTGAAATCCAGATGCAACACACAACGCGCGCTACAAGCACAAGAACTCGCCCTAACATGCTGTGCGCTGCCTTGGCCTTGCCATTCTGGCGCCTGTGTGGCAGCCAAATTCTTGGGAACCGTGCGTGTCAGGAGGCGCCTCCTGATGTCCCCAAGCAAGATATAACATGTTTGTTGATGAAAGCCTACAACGAAAAAGAATAGGAAAAAAGACACGAAGCCCAACATACGATGGCGATTCCGTTCTTTGGAGTGGAAGCTCCTGGACTCACTTCTGCTTCCTAACCTCCTCGAAGTAGGCGTGTGACATTGCCTGGCCCCCCATCCCATCGAACCTCTCACAGGTCCTGATGTGTCCACTTTTTGTGGGAGTGCGCATCACCTCTTGGGCCGGTAGTGAGGAAGGCTGCTTTGGGGGTGACGTGTGAAGGCGACGACATGGAAGGAATCTATCGCACCTCCTTGGGGAGGATGCGCGCCGCTGGGTCATATCGCAGCATCTTGTCGATGAGTTCGAGGGCCTGGACAGTCGGAGCTGCCTTGTTCGACTTCTCAGGCCAGGAAGTAGGACTGAAGGGACCCCAATGTGCACAAGCCAGAAAAGCCCTGCAAAAACCACCAAACGATTCTGTCTCAGCATTGAGGCAAAGCCTGTTGTCCTAAGTAGTCTTTCCTGTTATTTGGCTACAGACGGTACGTGCGAGCCTAATCTGGCTGTTCAGAGCGGTGGGCGTGGGTTGAACCATTCACACCGCGCGTGCTGTCAACGCAAACTACACATTTATACATTACTCCGAACATTAAACAAAAAAATCATGCTGCAGGTGTCGCCTAAATTTCTGCTTTGGCCCAACTTTTGGGGCATGGTGACGGGAGGCATGCAGTATACGCCTCCGGCGTGCAGCGCTCCGCATTCTCCTGGCGCAAGGTATTTCGACTGAAAACAGAAAGTCGGAACATGGAACCGACCTTTCCCTTAGAAAAACAATTTGCCGACGGGATCCATTCCAAGACCTGCCTTGGTCTTGAAGGAGGACCACTGCTTGCGAGGTAGCTTCCTGGAAACCAAAGCCAGGCACAGGCAAGGCAAGAAGCAGAAGGAACCGATTGAAAGTCCGTCTTTGACGCGGAAAAGGCTTTTTGCCCTGTTGGACACATCTTTGAGGATTCACAAGAGGTTGAGTCAAAAGTCGGGTCAGCAGGTCACATAGCCAGATTCAGAAGGGATGCCAAGCCGCGTGCCCAAGCTAACCTTATCCGGTTGAACCAGAGTAGGCAACTGCTCCCTTCTCTTGTGAGCAAGAGTGGCCCTGTCCTGGACAAATCCGGCCAATGGCACACCACATTTTTGAGTATCCGATCCGTGCCAAGCCACCCGAGGCGCTGCTCAACCTCCAGCTCTAGCTCTAAGTCGTAGGCATCCAGGTACTCCTCAAGGAGGTCTGTGCCCAGAACCTGCCAAAAGACAAAGGCCAAAAGACTTAAAGAGAGAGAGAATGAAGTGAACGCCACAATGGGCAAACCTTTGCAGGAAGTCCACGCACATAGATACATACACAGCACACACACACACAAACACATATGCATATGTAGACCGAAACGCATACATCCAACAAAAAGATATGCGCAGCACTGTCTAAACCTATTTGAGTCAGTTGAGGCAAATATTGCCAATTTACCATCAGTTATGGCAATGGATTATGCATTGCCAGGCTGAACCATTCGTGTTGCTCTGCTGCCTTTCTGGTTGCCCCTATGGTCGAATTGAACGTGGATTCGTAACTTGAGGTGCTTGGTGGCACACAACCACAGTGTTTGATGAGTTTGAGTTGCACAATTTAAGGCAATGGCTGGCATAGCCACGGCACAACTAGACTGAATGAACTTACATGTGAAAGACCCAGCTTTGAGAGAAATAGTGTGGGACATGTGAGAGGGATTCCTGCAAAATGTGCCAAAGGCAATTGAGGGTGAGAGCGGATACCTTTGTTAGCAGCTGGCATTCATATGAGAAAACCGCCACATCTTGCTACAGAACTTATTATGCCGGTATGAGTTTTGAGTTATTTCCGCCCCTTTTCCTTACCATGAAGGTGAGAACGGCTTCTGCCCATGCATTTGCACACATTGCATCAAAGCACTTCAAAGCGCTGTAGATTGAAGACTGGACATTCTCGGGACTCTTCTCGTTGATGCGAAATTATCAAGTACAAAAACTTGTTCAAAGGGCATTCATGCGGTTTTGTACGTGTTGGACATACACGTACATAGGTCGCATCTATTAATTCGCTTATTCGCCTTTGCAATTTTGTAGAGTTGGTCCACATTGTCAGCGCCCGCAAAGAACGGCTCTTTGCGGAAGGTGATGCCGGCCAGCATGCAGCCTCCGGAAGAGGCTGCCAACTGTTTTTTTGTTTAGAAAAACTGGGATCCGACCAATCAAACCAAGGAAGGATTGATGTTGAAACCAGTCCGGATTGGGCGCAAAAAAGATGAAGTCCCTCGAATGCCTAAGCTCCACATGTCCAGCGCGTAGTCGTACAGAGTGTCCTCAGAGATCGGCCAAATCCCGGTGTTCCGAAAGACTCTTGCAGCCAGGATTCATCGACCAAGAGCTCAGGGCCCTTGTAGTGTCGAGATGCGACCCTGGAGCGCATGGTGCCATGTGCCCACACATGCCAGCCGCTCGCTCGAAACGAGGCATGATCTTTCCGACTTATTGATGTAGAAATGTAGATCTGAGCATTTTCATAGTAACCACCTAGCGAGCCTGCTCTTACCTTCCTTGCATGTGTGTAGGACCACCCTTGACCTGGCCTCACGTTGTACTCGGTAAGTGGGTGATAGAACTCAGCTAGGCCCCAGTCCTGATTGTCTGCTGACTTGCAAAGAGGGAACGCCGGCTTCAAAGGCGTTCGGAAAATAAATGCAGGATGTTTAACACCCAGAGTCTTGATTGCAGGAATGCCATGTGCATCTGAGCGTCAATAAGCCGCACCTGTTCGCGCAGCATGCAATCCAAGAAACGCCTAGAATAAGAAGTGTGAAAATTGTGAACGGCGATCCCGCCGTTGGTAGGCAGCCTTTGGTGGCTCACAGTGGAACCGGCACAATGAGCTGCGAGGCACAGGGCGCTCGACACTCGGCAGAACTAGAACTGGCAACCCCCTGATCTTCACAAACTGCCGGAGTGGCTGCAGGATGCCCACCATTTTGCAAACTGAATTTGGAGATTTCAGATGGCTGACTCCACCTTTGACCGAATTGTCCCTCATGTGCAAAGAGAAGCATGGTTGAATTTATGCCTAGTTGACTGCCCACAGTGTAGACATGCTGCAGGCAGAGGTCGGGGTTCGGATTCTGGGTGGCCACAGCAGCTATGGAAAAAGGGCCACAGCAGCCGCAGCAAGCTTTCAGCATATCTACGTCAAGCAAGCTTGAACAGAACTGCCTTACGCTTGACAAGACGCCTCCCGCTTCTCGTGGTCAATCATCACATTGTGAGGCTTCACCTGCGTGCGTGGTTTGCCCAGCGGCATTTCATCAGTCAGCATTTCAAACCACTCGAGCTTGAGCTCAGTGACTCCACCGGCATGCCTCTTTCCCAGCAATGCCATGTAAAACTAAAACGTGCCACGGCGCGTCGCGGTGCATGATGCCCTGCGAGTGGCTGTAATCCAGAGCCTGCAAGGTAGCGGGGCCACTTCGCAAAATTAGCGGAAGCTGGAAGCCAGTAATTCATGAAAGCGCACCTTTCTCTGATAAACAGACCCTCCCTCCTTCAAGACCTGGTAAAGATAGAACTTGATGTCGGAGAGGGCTAGCTTTGGATAGAGTGTCCTCAAGTCTGCCCAAATGCACCGCAGCAAGCTGCTGGCCCTTTGCCACCACCGCCCTCACGTGAACAAACAAATCAATCCGATTTGCTGGGCATCGCACAGCAACTCCCAACGCTAGTTGCATCAGGCCTATTCTTAAGTCTTAGCAGCTGTTTTCGCTATGGCAACCATGGTACTATGGCGCGTGCACGGCTTTCGCCTTCGCTGAGGCGGGTACTTCCAGTCGGTATTGTTGATGTGCTCGAAGACCAGGCAGGGTGTCTTGGTGAGCGGGTCCCGCAGCACATCGAGCAGCTTCACAACATTGGGCCCTTCGCTCACCTAGCGAGGCTTGAACTTCACAAGCCGAAGTTGGCAGGGCAAACCGGTACTGCGGAAAGACTTGCATCTCCAACATTGCAACTGCCGAGGTTTCCCTCTGACGATTCCAACTAAGTTATAACTGGCGTGAGCCGGAGGTTGTCCTGTAGGCCTGTGCAGCCCGTCAATGCTTGCTTTCTCGTCCGCTTATGTCACTCCAAGGTGCGTTCTGCAGAATCTTGATCTCACGCCTTGGGACACAGACCGGCCTTTGAATTTGGAGGCCTAAAAAATCGGCGTGAAGGCCACCATTGGGCACAAACTAGACCTGACCTTGCCATCTCCTAGAGACCCGCAACGGAAAGCCAAGGCACTTGATCTTTTTCTTCTTTACGGGCTTGAGGATCTTAATAACCTTGGCTCACACACGCCCCATGGCAAGGCTGAGCATCACAAGCTTGAGGCTAGCAGCGCACTTCTTGTTCGTGGGGCAGTGGATGCCAGTGAACACTTCACCTGAACGAGGACCCACCTTGCAACTCACTGCGTGATACAAACTCTGAACTGCCCATGGTTAACAACCGTACAGACCAAAAAGCCAGCAACTGTGTTTCGCACGGGAGAACCCACATAAGTAGTTTTCTTCCGGTCTAGTTCGATTCGTGCAGCACGCTGATCGGCCTACTTGGATTTATGCAGCAAATGGGTGGCTAGTTGGATTCATGCAGCATGTGTTCGGTTGTTTGCTTCTTAGAAGTAGCCTTGTCCCTGATGATCGTGCCGTCTACACTGCCATTGTCTCACCTTGTTACTATGCCGTGAAGCCGGTGTGCCTCGAGTATCAGTTTGCAGACGTGCATGAAGCCGTGTATGCCGTCATGAACGTACGCAATGAGACATGCATGCGTGTGTGTGTGTATGACGCTCGAAACTCCGGCCGGTTTTAGCCCGTAGGTTGAAATAAACAAGGTCTGAAGACAGTCTGGGGACATGATTTGACTTCTTGGCGCCAGGCTGTACTTGCCCCGTCCGATCTTCTGCGTCACCTCGTAGTCATCTAGCTTCCCCCACTTCACCTGCCAAAGACAAAGGAGTGGCAGACGACTACGGTGGCTTTTGAGATCGCAAGCCAAGGTACAATCAGCTTCTCATAATCCCAGAACTCTTTCTGCTTCTTGGCCAATGCATCCTGGGACGTAGGATGGTTCCGCTGCCCGTGTGATGGAATGTCCGGTTTTGCCGCCAGCCTTGCTGCCTGTCTTTGCTCATGTTTCTCAGACAATCTTATGGCACCTCGTTCAACTGCTACCTCAGTACTGCCAGCAAGGCCAAATCATGAAGTGGATTCACCCCTTTTCTGGAACCAGCGTGACGCTCAAGGGTCCTTGTAGTACCTCGGCAGGCGATCCCTGGCGAGACAGAAGAAGTGTCACCAAGCATAATTTAAATGTCCATCCCGAAACACACAACAAAAGCCTGGTTTGCTCTGTTCACCCAATTCTTGGCCACACCCCCTACACCAAAGGCAAACTCTCAACTCCAACCGCCTAAGCGTAGCAACTTGCTGGTGGCACCGTCTAGGAGTCCCCACATGCTGGTCCCGGCCTTTTGGTGGCACGCGCAGTCATCACATCATTGCGGAGACAGCCCTCGAGCTCCAAAAGGCTGCGCCAAATCTGAATCACTTGAACCAATCGCAATGGCCTCCAGGCCATCAACGCGTTGGGTGTGTCATATTTTGAGGGCCTCAAAGGAAATTACAGAACTCGACACATGCCCCATTTCGCGGGGTGCCTTTCGTGGGGTTTAAGACAAACCCCTTTCGGTTGCGTGCGCTTTCACCGGCCAAGCGGAGGGCGCCCCCGCTAAAACGGTCGCCAGGGGCAAGTGGGGCAAGCGCCTGGCGCAAGCAAACTGAAAGCATTCCGCAAGCAAACCTCAAGCTGAGGAACCAAAGCAGAGGCTCCAAACCAAGCAGTCCTTAGGGTCAGAAACTTCAGGCATGTCTTGGGGAGAGGGCCTGGAACCCATGCAAATCACAAGGGCAGTTCTTCCGCGGATATACACGCCAAAAAGTTGGGTCCTGACATGCGCTGTGCCAGATGTGCAACTGGATGAGGGCTGATTGACCAATCTTTGCCGAAAACAAGATGTGCCTGCATGAGGTGTGCAGGCTCTCTAGAGGAAAAGGCTCTTCCAACTCTTCTCTAGCTAGATTTGGCCAAGCAATCATCCATCATGCGCTGTCCCCCACCCAATCCGTTGGATGGTCAACACTCCCGCAAACCCCGCGCGGGGGGGTTGCCATAAGCATGACTGCCACGCGTCGCCAACATGCAAACGAAGCATTGGTAGGATGCGACTTGTCACCATGATTCACAAGTCTGCAGTCATTGCTTTGACCAGTGGCTCTCGGAACATTGACGGGACCCTTGTGCTTGACGTATCTTGCCTGTTCCTTGACATTCCCTGAGATCCACTGCGAAGGATTCAATGTTCCGAGATCGGGCGCTAGAGCCAGTGACAAGCCCCCGCCCTGGTGGGTGGCTTGGCCACGGCCAAACGCTAACTGCGACGAGATGGGCTCCCTGGTGAGACGACCGCTTTCCTCGCACGGCCCAATGAGCCAGACTCGACAGAGCAACGGGCGTCTGGCTGAAGTCTGTTCCCGTGCAAAACGAAAGGACGCAAACCCACATGCATGCACAAGTTCATGGGTATGCGTGTGAGTGGGTGTTTGTCACGCGAGGTGCCACACGATGTCTGCCGCGTCACAAGATGTGTGCCACAATGGGTGTGCGTGTTTGTGTGTGTTTGTGTGTCACAACGTGTGTGTGCGTGCGCTTGTTGTAAGCTCTCTGCAGCACCAGTGCGAGGTTGCCGAAGCAAGACCTTCTGGCAACAAGCCAAATACCTTCAAGCATCCGCTAAGACAAGGGGGCGGTTTCAGCTGACATGTATGAAGGCTGCAGCCATTTCGGCACAAAAGCCGGAGTCTGGCTCAGTCAGAGTCGCTGCTACTACTGCTGCTGTCACTGTCGGAGCCCATGACATCACTGTCGCTGTCGCTGTCCTTGGCATGAAAAAGCCTACGCACAAAAATGTCACAAGAACAACCTGAAAGAGACCTGGAAGACAATTTGCCTATCTTTTTGACCGTCTTTCAGCGTCATCCTTCCTTTGAAAAGGGTATGCACGCCTTGATCTGGGAGCCTTCATTGAGACACCCGGCCGCCTTCGTTGCAGCTGCCTTTGGCTTGCGTCCGGCCTGCGTGCGGACAAGGCCACTCCGAGCCGCTCAGTTGATGTGGTGCGATCGCCGCTGGGTCCATTCTTCGTCAATCCTCAAACTGACCCTCATGGTGGTTCAAGGGAGACCACCAGAACCCAAACGTAATTTCCAGAACCCTCAAAATGCAAACAATTCGAGGGACGCAGGAACTTCCGCCATCCCTCTGCTTGCCTTGGCTTTGGGCTTCGCCTTGGCCTTCGCCTTCCTGGGCTTGGCCTTGGACTTTGGCTTTCGGCTTCCCTGAGTCTTTTGGATGGACTTTTGAGCTTTGTCAAACCTCACGTCGGGCAGCGGCCAAGTGGCAACTCCAATTCTCCTGCCAAGGCACTGCTTGTACGCATCGGAGTTTTTGTACTCCTTCAACTTCTCTTCATAGTCTTCCTGCCACCATGGCCACTGCGAGTCAGTTCACCTTGATGCCCCCAACCCTAGCTGGGCATTCCCTTTGGCAAAGAAAAGGTTGGGAGATGGCCTCTATGCATGAATTGACGGATGGGAACACTCTGGTCCTCGCCAACAAATGTCCCAAGTGAGAGGCCATCCGTTGTCCTGCCTTCAGCTCTGCTGCCTTCTCCTCGAAGGGCTTCTTGTCCTCTGCGGAGCACTGACCTCGAGTGGCACTCATGCAATCTGTCAGTCACTGACACTATTGCCATCGGTTGTGGGTGGTTTATTGGGTTGGGTTGACAGGCATCCGTTTGTCATAGTCCCCTCTGTCGAGAATGTACCGGACGCTAGTGATCTCCCGCGCCACGGGTGACTCAGCCGCCCATCTCAGCGTCAAGCTCCACAGTGCACTGAGCTCCTTGGCGACTTCTTGCATGCTCTTGCCCGCAAGCGTAGGCCGCTTATCCTGAACCGAAACCAGTTGTCAAGGTGACACTGGCTGTATGATGGCTCTTCGTATGGCAGCCGTTGATCGATCCATCGATCCATGCCGATCTCCAAAACCCGCCTGCACGAAAAGCTGATACGCACCAGGGGGCATCTTTGGCGCCTTGGGGGCATCCTCCTGGCACCGACTTGCAAGGTTCCAGGATGTTCCAGGTTCCAGACTTCTCCGCTTTCCGGCGGGACCCATTTTGGATGATTTGGGGATGAACGCACTCTGGCAAGCTGGCTTGAAGCCGGGCCCAGCCATCCCACAGCAAACGATGACACCTGAGTGCGCGAGCGGCCTGGCCAAGGTATTTCTGCCGTGCCTGCTCCACACCTCGGATTCACAAAGACACGAAAGGCAAGCAAGAACTGATGGTCTGCAGGCGAGCCGCGGCTTTTCTTGCCAGCTGCGGCCTGAAGCCGGTAGTACTTCTTGCCTCAGTCTTGCGCTAGATCTCCATAGCATGGGAGAGAAACACTGCGCTAATGCGCTGCTAGTGCCCTGACACGAACTCATCTGCCAAGCTACCTTCAGCGCTCTTTCGGAATTCTGCCATGTCCTGCAAAGATGGGCTGGGCCCCAGCACATATGCTAATGTGACGGATGTGCCATTCCACCCTAAGCAACGCTGCAGGCCCCCGCCTCTTCATACCTCAGAGTATGACAAATAAATGTGCATGGGGGGAGCCACCAAGCACATACACAGCCGTTCCAGCAAGTCACTTGCAGCTATGTAGATCGAATAGCAAGCAACCCAGCCACACCAAGCCCACGTCAACTAGATGACATGATCCAAGCCGCTGCTCCATTTTCTCCTTGGCTTCATCCTTGAACTTCTTCTGCTCCTGGTACCGGCACGGGGGGCAGTCACATCGGTCCAGCATCAATCTAAACTAGCCCCTCATGTGAGAGAAGTGTGGCGGGGAGGACAAGACACAGGCAGAAAGTGCGGCGTCCACGCTGCAGTACAACCTACAAATTCAACTTGGCTGAATTGCAAGCGGTCAGCCATCACATTGCACGACGTGTGGCCACATCTGCAACTGATACTCCGCACAACGCGTGATTGCGGAGCTGACAGGGTCTCGCCAGCTTCTTTGATGTCAGAAACTAGAGTTTGCAACCCTCTCCAGGTTTTCCTCTTCTTCTCTCTATTTTTCTCTTTTCGGGGAAAAGGGGAGGGGGAATGTCGAAAATGCGAGGACCAAGCCCTCTGCCGGGTATCTCCGCTTTGAGTCACAAAATCTGATCCGCGCCTCTGCGTCCAGTGCCTTCCAGGCCTCCACCTGCTGCTGAAGTTTTCCGCCGCCTGGGATTTCCGGGCCCCGAAGTGACTCGAAGTGGGCGGCTTTTTTTGTGGGGGGAGGGGTTTTCGAGAAGTTCCTTTGGTTTCTTTGAGGGTTCCTGGGCTCCCTCGGATTTCCATTCGCCAAAACAAGCACTCTCAAAGCAAGACTTGCCCACCTCTTCTACCCTCCAGCCCACGAGCATTGTGTAACAAATGGGCTCTAGGATGCTTCACACGTTGACTCACGTTTTTTAGAATCCGTTTCCCTGATCCTTTGCTTTGCTCCTCGAAGGCGGACGCCAAGGGAGTGCCAACACATGCCCTTCGGTTGACTTTGAGGGTACTTGTCACGATAGGTGGGGGGGCAATGGCCGATTTCCCTTGTAGCTTCCATCTAAACAAAAACAATTTGTCTGATGAGAAGGTCAGGACAGTAACTGCAAACCGTCGGCCAACGCTGCAGTGGATGTTTATCTTGACTCGCCCGCTTGTCCTTTCTGGTGCCAAGGGGCCCTTGTTGGCCTTCATGAACAGCATCATGGCGGCAGGTGGCTTCTTAGGCATCGTGTCCGGCACCGGGGGGCCCTTTGGCTTCGCTTTGGCTTTGCCTTTGGGCGCTGGCCTTGTCGACCTCACTGCCGACTGATACTTCTTGTACTCCGGCGTCTTCTTGAACTCCTCTTGGCGCTTGGCTGACAGGGAAGAAAAACAAACATCCTCGAGATGTGCACAAGAAACACACCCTCACCAAATGTTGAACCACATTGCGAGTTCGCGTCTGCGATGAAAGAGCTGAAAGGAATGGTCTAGTCGGCCTCTGGACCGCCCGAACGCAGGCCAGAGAAACTGCAAGGTTGAGGTCCTCCATCTTCTCTTCGTATTCGTCCTGCTTTCCTTTTGCCTTGTCATCCCATTCCTTCCTCTCGTCTTCGGACAGTCCTGCCAAACAGCCAGCCCAGCCAAGCCGCCATCTTTGGCACACTTCCGTCAAACACCCTCTAGAGAGCTTAGGGTTGTTTAGCTCCTCGGAAGGCCTCGGCGATCTTGCTGTTCAACATCAGGCCCTGCGATAACTCGCGAATCACAGCAGAACCGGACGGAGAATCAACATGCGCCGGCTGGAGGCATCCGTACTTTGCGCTTTCCCGAGGTGCGCCTTGCTCTCTGGGAACTTCTCCGCAAACTCCCCGCGCTTCTCTTGGGAGAAAATGGCAAGGGGTGTGGGCGGCCTGGCGCCAAAGTTGGGTGCCGCCATTGGCATGTTGCTTGTCAACTTTTGCCGACCCTGAAGCTGGCAAGAACTGGTGAAGCACAAGAAGGCCAGGCTGTCTTCTTTGGCTCATCCTTGAGAAACTTGTCTTTGGCAATTGCCACTTTTCTCCTGGCCCAAATGCAGCTCTCAAATAAATAGGTACATCCCCCCGACATCTGTCAGTGAAAGCGCCTCTTCTGAACATTCTTGGTATCCCTTGCGTACTTCTTACCTTCGTCCGTCTTTAGCCACTCCTCCATCTTCTCCTACAACAGTTGGCTTGAAGCCACGAAGCTACCCCTCGCTGAGCTATTGGCAAGGACGAGCGCATGCCGACTGTCAACAAACTGCTGGAGAACCCGGACTGCTCGATGCCATAACAAAAGATATTCTGATGGCAGCGAGCCTCATACTCCTTCAATTGCGTTTCGGCCATCTCTTTGAAGCGTGCCTCGCGAAGCAAAGCACTGGAGGCAAGCCTCTCAAGCCGAGAAGCAGACCATCCTCCATGGGGCAACGTTTTATCCCTACCACCCACTAACATGGAACCTGAATGGAAGCCCAGGCAACAATCTCCTTTCAAAGGGACCCCCTGTCAGGTTCTATCTTAGCTGGGGAGGTACCGATGAGTGGTCCTAGCTCGAGCACCTTTGCCCTGCCTTCTCCTCATCTGGCAGCTCCCTGAATGCTGACGCCATCTCCGGTATCTTCTTACCAGAGCCGGCCTGAGCGGTCAACATGTGCGACTATAAAACACATGGCAAAATGAAGGTTCCGAATAAATTTAGTGAGTCCCCCATGTCGCTCCCGCATGGACCGTTCGATGTTTCGGCCGAAACAAGCCCGCCGCCTGCTCCTTCATGTAGAGCTTCAAAGCATGCCCCGGCTTTGCCGGCATGGACTCTGGCTTTGGCGGCGGCGCTGGAAGATTGGCCTTGGGCTTCCCTTTGCCGCCGCCTGGCCCATCCCTCTTCGCAACATCCTATCCAGTCAAAACCCTGTACATGCCCGCAAACTTGCTGCAAGGTGCCTTTGCCCTGCGGCTTCTTGTTCGACTTCATGAACTTCCGCATTGCGGCTTGGTAACTCTTGAAGTTCTCCGTCTCTTTAAAAGCTCGCAATTTCTCCTGGCGGCTTCCCGACTGCGCTCGGCTCAAACTTGGCTCGGAGGGCAGGCGTTTATGCTTGCTGAAAGCCCAAGGGGGTAGCAAAGACAGAGCGGAAGGCATTTGGTTGCAGCCGAGTCCTCATACTCCTGCTGCATACCCTTCGCCTTGTCTTGGTAGACTGTCTTCTCCTCGTCACTGAATGCTTTCCTCGGCTGGCAGAAAGGCGGGAGCGCCCCGGGCACGCCCACGGTGCGCTCCGGATCGCTTCGCAGGCAGTGTCTCCCTTTTGTCTGCTCGAAGGCCCAACCAGCTCTGCGAGCCTCCCAGGCCTTTCGGCCGAGGGAAAACACCGAGGCAACCCAGGCGTTCACACAACCACCTCCGCTGTCCGCGGCATGGCACGGAAGACCTGGGGGGCCAAGCATTCAAGATGCCGGCCACACGCATGGCAAATTTACGCGATGGAATGCACCAGTTTGGAGAAAGCGCTGAACTGAAACCTGTGCGAGATCTGTGATCTTGTCAAAGTGGTTTCATCACTTTTGAGACAGCATGCCTCATCAGCAGCTCGGTAGCCAGACTCCACCGCCCCGTCAATGTAACCTTGGCCAGTGAGCTTCCAAAAGTAGCAATGCCTTGTGCAAGGCCGGCCCCCCTCTTGAAACGCTCATGGAGTCATCCCGTGCTGCTCAAGCAACAAGCTTGCCTTTGGCAATGCCCTGCGCTCTCGGATCACACATCACTCAGTCTACAACCTGCGGGTGCCAGCCACGTCCCGAGACCAATGCTGAGCCCGGTCAATGTTACTTTGAATTAAAATAATCAACTCCCAAAATGTGAATATATATATATATATAGATATGTGTGTGTGTGCCCGTTCCCCCCGTCGCTCCCCCCACCTGCGCCAACACGAAATCGGCACTGGATTAAAAGAACGCCAGCCACTGTCACCAGTACAAATTGAACCAACAACCAAACAACAAACAAAGAAAGAGGCAAGCAAACCCGTATTTTGCCATTGTACGCTGGCACAAAACTAACACAACGCAATGCTCAGCACGGTTGCTGCAGCATGCAGGGAACCACGAGTGAACTTCCCAGCCCTCTGCCCCCGACATTGGCATCTCAAAGTCTCACAAGCGCCACGCAACCCATCCACTTCTGCGCAGTGTCAGAGCCCGCCCAGTGCAGTCGCCCAATCGGCCGACGCCAGGCTTCGCCGGCAGCAGTGAGCAGCCCGGGCGGCATGTGCTGCACCTTGGCCACAAGCATTGCACAAGCAATCTGTTCAACTGTACCCATCTTCCCGGCATATCTCATCAACGTCTGCCAAACCTAGGACCCAAAGCCAGGTTCCATTCGACCCTCGGCCAGCTCCTTGCCTCCAACCAAAAAAGGTGGTTGCGGGGTCGTTTTGCGGGAGGCGCAATGTTGCTGGTGCCGCCAGCCGGGTGCTGGAGGTCCCACAGCTGCTCGTGGTATCCGATGTGATTGCAGGACTGGTTCAGCCCAATGAGGTTGGAGTTTGCGCAAATGGTCGATGCCAACAAAAACTCCCGCTCGCCCGCCGTGCCTCGCGGGAAAAAGTGGCGAAAATGGGAACTGGGGCCCAAAGAATGCAAAGGTCTGAAGTGAAGGGACTCAAAAAAAAAAAAAACGAAAAAACGTCCAACCATCCGGAGGCTTTACAGGACAGGGCAGGTGTCCGCAAGCGCGCCGCCAAGGCGCTGTCCTCCGAAGAGAAGAATCCTGCGAGGACACCAGGCACTCCAGTTTTGTCAGAGTAGTCGAAGAAGATCATGGACCGCGTGAGGAGGTCGTAGGCGGGGATGTTGGCCGCTTTCGGAGAAAACGGCGGGCGCCAAAATGCGGTCTCGTAGACAAGGAAGAACTTCATGCCACCTAACGTGCGCAGATCAGCCAAAATCGCAGCCTCTCGCAAGTATGTTGGATATCTCGGTGCATGGAAACTGTGAGGTACACGAAAATCTCAAATTCGCGCTCCCAGTCCAAGGGCACCGCCCCTTGCTCGGCCAAATACGTGTCTGCAATTGCGGAGCCCGCAAGTGAGCGCCAATATGTGGTTCTACGTGGCCTACAATGGTTACACAAATTGTAGAGGCCCGCCCTTGCACCCAAAAAAATCAGTAGCCTCAGTAGCACCTCGAAAATAACACGGAACCCCAACAAGCCCCCAAATTCAGCTGGGAACTAAGTTTGTCTAGTGGCTAGCTTTCCTTTCATCAGCGGCCAACATAGGGGACCCACAAAAAATGATAGGTGTCCTTTTGGCTTCCCTTCTCACAGAGTGAAAAGGGCAAGTACTGACACACACAGAGACACACACAGAGACACACACACACACACACGCACACAGAGACACGCGTCTACCTACGATCTCTCAAATGGTGAACCCCGCCTTTTTCCGTGACCCACTTCTTGTGGAGCTCTTCGCGCTGTGGTGTGAGCCCCTGGTAGCTGAGTCGCGCCGCATCGCCGGTACCCATGGCCACCACTGCATGGGCCGGCTGCAAAGTTTTCGAACCACCTGGGCGCGTCTTTGAGGGCACCCTTTGCAGTGTCGTGACAGAACCATCAAAGACATTATTGAAACAACGTGTCAATGCAATTTCGGGAACTAGGTCTTGGGGTGCGCTTCTTCTGCTCATTCGGGCCTGGGCCGGACAGGAGGAGTTCCACATGGGAGGCCTCCACCACAATACGCCGCACCGTGGTGTTCCACAAAATGGTGGCGCCGGCGCGAGTGACGTTCTCCCGGAGCAGATCCGGCAAATGTGCCGAACCCTTGGTGAAGCGGTAGTCCTGCACGGCAGCCCGATGTTGTCTGACAAGACGCTCGACAGGGAAGGATTTTTGGTTGGCAAAAGAGGCGAGGACAGGCGTGCTTTAACTGCTGTGGTCGGATCCGAAGCAACCAGAAACGGAACCCTGCCTGCGCGCCGCCGATGAAGAAGCTGTCACTGAGACTGGGGCAGGAAGCCTCAAAGAAGAGGTAGAACAGCATGGATAGCTTCGAGATCTCTGTGGACAAGGGAATGGCGATAATCTGATTCCTCCGAGTGAATGGTGTGATACACTCGAATTGAACAAGCATTTCCCATCAGCAGAGCCACGGCAACAGAATACAATTAGACATATCTTCTAGCGATGCAGAGGCCAGAGTTGGGACCTACTGACTTGGGGATCTGTGGGCATGTTTGAGAGTGTCGTCTGTAGAACCCGGGGCTCAATGTCTGACACCCTCCGGTCAGCTGGGTATATGTGTCGTCGAACATGACTCTTTGGGGACATCATGTAAACATGTAGGCCCACAAACCATTTCGCGCTTCATTTTGTTGCGGGTGCCGTTTTTGTTGCGGGCACGGGAAACGAAAGGAAACATGCGCGACTTGAACAGCATGAACAAGCATTCTTGACGTCCTTTCAACCCTTCAAATTCTCCCCTTAAATTGCACCGCCAGGACCGAAAAGCAATTTGAGGAACCCTCAAAATGTATAGACTTTAACATGAAAGGATACGTTTAACAAATAAGCTCAAGTGATATCCCCAACAGCAGGCGGTGCTCTTTTTAGTGCTCGCACCACCCCGCAGCCCTGGTGGAATCCTGACCCTGGTGGAACCGTGGTGGAACCCTGGTGGAACCCTGGTGGAACCCTGGTGGAACCCTGGTGGAACCCTGGTGGAACCTTACCTCAGGGCCGCCCCGGACCACCCCGGAGCCTATCTGGGCTAAGACCCCAAAGCTTTCAGCTGTTGGGGAAAATGAAAAACACATTTTGATTAAAAGCCAAAAACATTGTAGGGAAAACCAGACGCTTTTGCAGGGGACAGAAAAACACACTTATACATATATATATATATATATATATATAAAAACTACTGTAGGGAAAATCAGACCAGTTGTGCAGGGGACAGAAAACCACTTTTGCATTCTTAAGAATGCACACTAACATTGTTTAAAAAAAACGGCTCAGGCGACATCCCCAACAGCACCACACCCTCCCAGAATCCGCGCGGAACGCCCCAGGACCCACCTCACCGCCGGTGTTGCTGAGGATGCCGCCTTGCAATTTTAAAAAGCAAAGCTAAGAGTGACATCGCAATCGCGCCCTGATCGGGGCCCGACGGCGCAATCGGGGCCCGATCGGGGCCCGACGGCGCAGTCGGGATCGGGGCTCGACGGTGCAATCGGGGCCCGACGGTGCAATCGGGGCCGGATCAGGGCCCGATGGTCCCGTGGCGCAACCCCAGCCATATTATAGCTCAACGCCGGTTTTCCTCAGGATGCGGCCTTACAACTGTATCTAGCAAAACTAGGCGATGCCAGCTTGGTACGGTTGACGCGGCCCAACGAAACTTTGTTGGAACCATTCCTCGAGGCTGCCCCATAGCTTTTGCAGAACCTGGCGGAAGCCTCGTGGCGCTTTTGGAACCTTACCCCGTAGCCCTCGCAGCCTCGTGGAATGCTTGGAACCCAAAGCCCACCAAGTAATACTCAGCAATGCCAAGTGTTTACTCTGCTGCACCGTGAGTCCCGCAGCAACGTGATCTGATTTGCCACAAAGCCAACATTTCGGGCCGCGCTGCCTGAGCAAGTGAGCAAGTCACAAAACAGTGAACGTGTGCTAAAAACAATTGATTTCGGTTTTGCTTAGTGTTCCGCCCATGAGAAAAAGCGATCTTCTGAGCCCTCAAAAAATCCGATGGCTTTTCAGACGGCGGGCGTACGACACACTGCTTCCCTCCAGGGCAAGCCACGGAACCTTGCAGAACATTTCTGGAACCCTTGTGGAACCTTGTGGAGCCTTGTGGAACCCTTGTGGAATCCTTGTGGGATCCTTGCGGAATTCTGTGGAACGTGAGGGGACCATCCTACAGCCCTCGCAGAACCCCTCGTGGAATCCTGAAACCCTTCATGGAGCCTTACCTCAAACCACCCCGGACCACTTCGCAGGTGGAACCCTGATGGAACGCTCGTGGGACCTTACCTCAACCTCAACCGCGGACCACCCCGCAGCCCTCGCCAAACCTGGTGGAACCCTGGTGGAACCTTGGTGAAAATTCGTAACCTACCCCGGACCACAGCCGCTGGTGGAACGAGGAACCCTGGTGGAACCCTTGTGGAACCCTCGTGGAACCCTCCTGGAACCTTCCTCAAACCACCCCGGACCACCCCGCAGCCCTC